TAATGTGAGTTCACTACAGAAGGATGACTTAACGCCCTAATCTAAGTGAGAGAAGGTGGTGGCCTAAAGGAAGGTATTTGCAGTGGAGATGGCAGGAGATACAGGGACATGTGATTGGTTGGGGGTAGTAAGGCAGAGGGATTGTTACTTACAGGCGGCCCTCAAATTTTACTGAGATATGGAAGAGGTGTAAGTGAAGAGGGAATACAGGAGATGAATTTTTAACATGTTAAATCAGACATAGAGGTGGAATATCTAAGAGGAAGTTTCTAATAGGGAGAGGAAACACGTGTCTGAAGCTCAGGAAGAGATTGGAGTTTGAGAGGAAGATTTCAGAGTTATTAGCATTTCCCTATCTAACAGACTCTTGTTATCTCCTCCCCACTCTCTATGTGCCTGCAAGAAGCCGGGGTCCTACTTGATTCTTTGGGGGTTTGTGTCCCTTCTTTCCCCTTCCTCTTAGCTAGGAGTCAAGGACTGACTGGTGAAAGAATAGGAAAGTTCTTACCTGGAAAGGAACAAAATCTGGATGGAATCTACATTCTAGAGCGAATGTAAAAGAGGCTCAGGCTAGGACTTTGCCTGAAATCACACCAGGTTGTTTGTTTGTCTTTGTTCTGCTTCCTCCCCATCCTTACCCTTTTCTCTGAGAGCTCTGCCTCTCCATAAATCACTTGTACAGACGTTTTTGTCTACAGGTCTATATCTGGAGAGCCAAATTTAAAACAGGTAATAATCAGGAAAATTAGTTATTAAAGCAGCCTGAGAAGGGTGTGTGTAAGGTAAGAACAAAAGCAGCCTACAATGGAATGTCGAAGCATACCATTCACCATAAAGTTGGAAAAAAAAAAAAAAAGAGCTCAGGAATGAGCCTGAAGAAAAGAGACAGAAATGTTGTGGGTGTTGGGAGGTGCTGTGAATGGAAAATATGGTGCTGGATGTGGAAACCTACGGAGAACATTTTAAACCCAGTATGAAATCATACAAAGAAGTCAAATTATGGAAGGATTGAAAATGATCTATTATATATAGACAAGAAAAGGCCTTATTACACCCTATTAAATATTGGGCATTTTTAATATTTTGGAGATAGAGACTGATAATATATATGTATATATTTTAATAAAAGGTATTTTTGAGCCCTGTACCAGTGCTGCAGTAGGAGATTGACAGTTCCTGTCATATAAGGGGCCAACAGTCACAGTCCAGTGCAAGAAGTGTTGCAACAGTAGTAAGTGAAAGTCATTACCCATGCACAGAGGAAGACTTAACATCTGCTAATTCATGTTTTTACTTTGTTAATGATCAATAGCCTTTTATACAGTTGTTTTGGTTTATGCATCGTACTTTATATTAAATATAATCTCCTGCTACAATTCTTTTTAGCGAAGTGTTAGATATCTTCATGGAGGGTCAAATATGGTAATCCATGTACTTGGAAGTAATGGGAAAAAAAGCTACCTCTTCATTGTGCGGGTATCGCTTATTTCCTTGTTCATTTACACATTTATGTTTATTTGTAGGGGAAAAATTCCTTCTGAACCTGATGAAATGAAGAAAATCTTTTCAGTTATGAGCTTCTGTTTCATGAATAGTTCATTTCTTCACCTGCAAACTCATCTCTCATGAATGGATAGTTTGGTGAATAGATTACTAGTAGACTACTAGTAATCAGCTTACTAGTAGACTATTTTTGTGTCTAGCTCTATGCGATTCAGTTATTATATCTTGAGAAAGCTAATTGGAAAAAACAACAGCAAGTTGCATTCTTCTCCTTGCCTCCAAATACTCAGTAGAAAGTGGCTACAATACACACCCTGCTAAAACTCTCACAGCAATCTACTTATTACTGATAGTCTTTACTGTAAGGAGCTGTGGAGATAGCATCATCTCTCTGTTGTTTCTTGTCTTGTAACTGTAGCAAGGAATATCAATGACTGCCAGTATCCATTTTGTTTACCTAAGTATTAGAAACTTACTCTTTTCCTGGTGGGACTCCTGAAAGCTTCCAATTTTTAATCGCAAAATGGCAAAAAAGAGAAAAAAAGAGATCTTCTATCTTTGGTTCTCCTGTTATATTTGTACGTACTGATGATTTTCATTCTGTCTGCTACCTCTTTGCTACTTTGGTCAGTTGATGCCATCACACACACACACACACACACACACACACACAAAAGGGAGGGAATATATTTAGAGCAAAATATTGTGTGGTCTTGGTATTAACATGATTTCATCTGATGGAAGTCTAGCAATGTAGGTAGTGACTGGGCTCTGCTTAGGACTAGTTACCCCCCTGAAACTCCCCACCCCTCATACCTCACACCTCTTCCTTTGCTTACTGTTACCTTTTCCAGCATTAAAGAATACATTTTAGAAGAAGATAAAATTATGACTGCTTTTCTTTCACTTTAGCAAACAGAACATTAGGAGCTTATAACACTAGCTGATTTCAATCTTTGTGTGATTAAATCAATTGAGAAACCAAATATGCACGTTTATAACTTTTTTCCCATTTATACTTGAATAATGTATTTTATTTTAAAAGATTTTATTTATTTATTCATGAGAGACAGAGAGACAGAGACAGAGAGAGAGAGAGGGAGGCAGAGACAGGCAGAGACAGGCAGAGGGAGAAGCAGGCTCCCTGTGGGGAGCCCGTTGCAGGACTCCATCCCAGGACGTCCAGGATCATGACCTGAGCCAAAGACAGACACTTAACCACTGAGCCACCCAGGCATTCCTGCATTTTATTTTTTGTATAACTTTCAGCTCATGTGTTTTACTAAATTTTAGAAAATTTCTTACCTTTAACCTGCCAATCCTTCATTCCCATTTGTAACTTCTGACGTCCTTTTCACATTTATGACTTCCTAAGTATTTCTTCACATCATAAAATGGATCTTCTTTCATAGTAGGGGTGGTATTAAACTAGTGTAGGAATTACAAAAACTTATTTCAAAGCCGCATTTTTCATTTCCTTAACTGAGTTGTGTCTTCACAGTGAGACCTAATCATTTGAAACTTTTGGCATCTGTCTTTTATTACAATGTAAAATTTAGTAATGCCAGTATATCTACAAAAACAGAAATTCCTTCTCCCTTTATGGACTCCAATGGCATGAAAATTAGTACTAGATCCTTTTTCCCTTGATGTTAATTTTTAATGTATTTTAAAAATCCACTTCTCCGCGTAAGCACTTTCAATTATAGGATACTGGGACTCTCTTAATTGAAAATGATCACCTTAGAGTAATAAGTTTTATTGGTATATTAATTATCAACAACTTTTTAAAAAAGATTTTATGTATTTATGAGAGAGAGAGAGAGAGGGGGGAGTGGGGAGAAGCAGGCTCCATGCAGGGAGCCCTACGTGACTCGATCCCAGGTCTCCAGAATCAGGCCCTGGGCCAAAGGCAGCGCTAAACCGCTGAGCCACCTGGGCTGCCCAACAACTTTCATATAAAAATTGCAATTAGATCATTTAAATTCCAAAATAATTAATTTGCCCATTCAATAAAATTCATTGAGCAGCTATTATGTACCAGGTACTCTTCCAGTTGCTGGAAATAAGAGTAGTAAACAAAACAGACAATAATGCATGCCCTTGGGGAACTTACATTTTAGTTGGGAAGTAAACAATTAACAGGGGGGGAAATTTATAGTATACTAGATGGTAATAGATATTAAGGGGAACAATAAAGCAGGCAGTGCAAATAGAAATCATGTCTGAAAAATGGGCAGTAATTGATAGAGTGGCTAGTGAAAGCTGCATTGATGAGGTGATATTTGAGAAAATGCTAGAAGGAGGTAAAAAAAATGCAATAGGAGAAATGAATATTCCAGGAAAGAGAGAATAGTACATGTGAAGTCCCTAATCAGGAGCATGCCAAGTCATGCTCCAGAACAGCAGAGGCCAACGGGGCTGGAGTAGAGTGAGCCAGGGTACAAACTGAGGGTAAGAAGACTAATGGAGCAGGGATGGAGGGCAGACCCGTGAAGGCCTTGTTAGCCATTTTTGGAATTTTGCTTTTTAATCTAATTGAGATACTAAGACTTCAGAAGTTTTTGAGCAAAGGCATGATTTGTTCTGACTGAGGTTTTAAGGGGACCATTATGCCTGCCATGGCCAGACTAGAATGAAAAGGGGCAAGGGCAGACACAGGAGACCAGGAAGAAGGCAAGAAGATTATAATCCAAGTGGAATTTCTGTGTAACTTTAGAAGGATTACTGTCTTGTAAACATCAAAAAAAAAAAAAAATCACTGTTTTAAGAACGCCCAAACTTCACAAGTAACTGTCAATCTGTGAATAAGAGAAATATTTTAATCAGTCTAAGATATTAATCAGGAAACAGCACAAATATTGAGTAAGCAGTGTTTAAAATACACATTTATTGTCTAATAATACATCAATATTGAAACTCTTCTGTTTCATTGTATCATACAATCATCATAACCACTCACAATTATCGCTAGTTTAAATAACTGAGATAAATACTGTAATTATGTAGGCCTAATTACTTGAATATTCAGAATTTTTTTCCTCCCCGGAGTTGTAAAATTTTATATTATCTTTATTTATTGTTTTAATTTTACTTACTCTGCTTCATTTTCAGATTCAGAGAATATTACATTATCGCATTATAACTTGGAACCATGTTGCTAGACATTTAAGACACAAGTTAAAAATCTTTAGCAGACGAAATCTTTTTTTTTTTTTCCAATTTTATGGCTCAGTTATTAATATTTAGACCTGTTTTTCTTTATACAGCCTTTGGTATCATCTTGTATCATTACATTTTACACAATGTTCCATTTGCTTTTTATGGCTAGGAATAAAAATAGGCACAAGGTTCCATTTTGCTACAGTTGTTAGAATTGGTGAATACTTTGAAAACCTCAGTAAAAGCTCTGCTTCTTGGCAGGAGATCATTCCCCAGATGAGGAGACGTGTGACCATGGGACAAGCAGCCCTTGGGAGATAGCAACAATTCCTCTACATTAGACCGTATAGCCAAGTTATCCTTTATCTTCCAGCTGCGGAAATTTGAGTCCATGATGTAATGCTAAATCATGAACAAATCAGCCAGAACTACAAGGTTTTTAGGGTCCCCTGCTGTAAAACAAAGGACAGTAATGTGGAAAGACCGTTCATAAGCGTTTTGCTCTGCCTTTAAATTTGCAGATGCATAGTTCATTGAAGTCAGAAGGGAGCGCCAGGGGTTGTTTTAGCGATCAGCGATTTATTTGAAAGATAATTCTTTTCTCCTCTTTACTGTATGCTGATGATAAGGACGTACTCTTGAACCGTCAGGTGGCTTTTCGGATAGTCGCTTACGAAGCGTACTTCTCTGGGTCACTACCTCGCCGGGTCCTCGCTCACACAAGCAGAACACGGCCGGCCCCCACACTTCTCTTTCTTCCCTTTGCAAAACGAAACGGGCCAGGACGTGTTCACGTGACGCGAGTGACGTCAGCCCCAGCCAGGTCGCGTGACCGGCACCCAGCCTTCCCAGCCCCCGCCCCCGCCCCGCCCCGCCCCGCCCCGCCCCGCCCCGCCCCGCCGCCCGGGCCGGAGATCTCGCGAGAAGCCGCCTTACTATCGGAACTTACTGAGCTTACCGGGGAGTTACTCTGAGGGGAAGGTGTGGCTCCCTCGGGGCGTCTTTGCTTTCGTTCTAGCCCTCAGCAAAGGCTGAAGCAAAGGCTGAAGCAAAGGCCTGGGGCGGCGGGGGGCGGGGGTGCAAGGGTTTGAGCAACCCGACCTGGAAACGGCGCGGGGCGCGGGGGGCCGTGGGCGGCCGTGGGCGGCCGTGGGCGGCCGTGGGCAGTGAGGTGGCAGTCACCTCAGAAGTGACACGTGGCGCACGGCGGGCAGCGCCCCTCGCTAAGCCGGCTGGGGGCCCGGAGTCCCCGGGGGGCTGTGGGAGGCCGGGACCCCGGTCGGGACGCAGTCGACTGCCCCCATCCGGCCCCCGCGGTGTCGACCCGCAGCGGAGCCGAGATGACACGGTCGCGCGCGCCGCCCTCGCGGGCCCCTGCGGCATCCCCCGGCGGCCCGCGGCTCGCCCCGCGTCGCTCCGCCGCACCCAGCCCCAGTTTCGGCAGCCGCCTGACGGCGAGTTCAACGGGGTGGTTTTGCCGTCTCGCCTCACTCCCCTAAACCCTCGCCGGGCTTCCCGTTCGCGCATCGCCCCCACCCCCCACCTCACCCCCCTGCTCGGGTTTGCGCGAGCGTGAGACCCAGGGCGGGAGAGTGGGGTCCGCGAAGGCGCCGGGCTGGGAGTCGCCAGAGGGAGGTGTGGGGCCGGCGAGGAGGGGGCTCCGCGGAGGGAGCGCGGGGGAGGGGCGGAGGCGGAGGCGGAGGCGGAGGCGGAGGCGGAGGCGGAGGCCCGCGGAAGGCCGCCCGGGCTTCGCCTCATCCCATCCGAGCGCTCTTTCTCTCGCCGCGCAGCCTCGCAGCGGAGCGGCGCGCGCCGCAGGGGGAGCGCCAGGCAGCCGAGGCGCCCGCGGGAGGCAGGCGGGAGGCAGGCGGGCGGCAGGCGGGCGGCAGGCGGGCCCCGGGCGCGCACGCTCGGCCGAGCCCCGGCGCGCCCCCCGCGCCCCCCGCGCCCCGCGCCCGCGCCTGCTGACAGCTGCAGCTGGGCTCGCGCTGTCCGCTCCCAGCTCGTCGGCCTCCGCCCCCTCGGGCTCCCTCCCGTCCAGCGCGGTGCGGCTAGTTTCGCAACTGCTCGCCTCTCGCCCCGTGCCCGGCTGTTTTCCATTTCCCGGCCCCTTCTTCCTGAGTACTTTGCCCCCGGCATTTGGGGGACAGGGGCTGGAAAGGGGGCGGGCGGGGCGTCCAGCGGAGAAGGAAGCCAGGGCCGGAGGAGGAGGAGGAGGAGGAGGAGGAGGAGGAGGAGGAGGAGGAGGGAGGAGGAGGAAGAGAATCGGCGGACCGTGGGGAGGAGACCCCACGCCACCCTTTCTGGTCCTCTCCCCTCGCGCCCCGCCCCTGCGCACACTCCCTCCCGGGCGAGCTACTTTCGGACGCGGAAAGTGAGGGCGGCCCTGGGTGACAGCGCCGCGGGGCCAGTCCCGGGGAAGCCGCGCGTCTGTTCGAGGCTCGTCCGCCAGCTCTCCCAGCCAGGGGCATAGCCCGGACCGAGAGGATGGCTTCGACCACAACCTGCACCAGGTTCACGGACGAGTATCAGCTTTTCGAGGAGCTCGGAAAGTAAGCGCCTTTGCCCGCGTCCGCACGTCCCCTTTCCAGCAGCGGGGCGGGTGGCGTCCCCCCGGCCCGCCGGCCTCCCGCGTGGGGCGAGGGAGTTTGGGCGACCAGAGGAGTGGGAGGAGGGCCGGTGGCCTGGCCGGCTCTGAGGACGGTGCTGCTCTAGCAAGAGGAGGGGAGGGGGGCCGAGACTGGAAGAGACCCTCCACCCCGCTCGTGTGGCCCATTCCAATAACCCTCAACCCACCTTCTCCCGCCCCCCCCCCCCGCCCCCTTGCACTAGAGACTTAGTGGATTTACGATCCCTGCAGTAGTAGCTGTCATCCTGGGAAGTGTGCGAGCGTCGTGTGTGTGTGTGTGTGTGTGTGTGTGGAGAGAGAACAAGAACCCATGTAAAATGCAACATAGACCATGTTTTCTGTAAATAGAGGTGCCTCGGGGTTAGCCGGCGTGTCGCCCGAACGACCCACGTACGAATGAGAACTCCCTGCCACAGACGGTGCCATGTTTATTGATGCCGAAAGTTCAACTTGGCGTGGAGTCTATTTCACGTCCAGTACTTGTTCTGTCCAGGAAAAGGGTCACCAAAGGAACTCGACCCCCTGCCCCATATCCACCATCCTTTGCACCTGCATTATTCGCTCATCACCATCCTTCCTAGGATTTACGTGCGCATCTTCGCATTCTCTGGGAGGGTTTATTTATACAGGCAACGGAAAAGACCTGGAGACCGAGAGAAAGCTTGCCAAGGGTAGCCTAGCGTCGTGTAAAAACGACCTCCCACGCCCCGACTGGCGGGACTCCTCGGAGGGAGAATCTAAGGAAGGGGACCAGAGACCTCCCGAGGACCTGTGTGCTTCGGCACCCAGGGGCCAAACCGTGAATGTGGATTTGCGTAGCATCCCACCCAAACCCTATTCCTCTATCGCTAGTGTCGGCTATTACTTACGAAAGGGGTGCGTTTATATGCATGCATGTATGTACGTTTCATACAGTCGAATTCAAGAAACTGTAATTAGCTTTTAAACGTAATGACAAGCATATCCTCATATATTTATATGTTGTCTGCTGTTAAAACATGGAGACTATGTCGGAAGAGCAGCTTAATTCAAATCTCACCCTTCCCCCAGCTCAAAAGAGGGCACCGAGAAATCACCGTATCAGGACTTATTAAACCACACAAACGTTCCCAAGATTTATATTTTAGTGAAAACAATCGCCATATTTACTTGGAGCCACATTAATTTTTTTTTTTCTAATAAATAGGCAGCAGATTTTTGCTGCTCCTCCTCAGCCATGCTCTTTGCAGGTTTTTTTTTTTCCCCCCCTTCTCAGAGCATTTGGTGCTATGTGAGTGTGAACTGTAAAATGTTTTCAAATTTCCTGTGCAAACAAGAGCCGTCATAATTGGCAGTTTCTTTCATTATGTTGATTAATAATGTGTGCTCCCAGTTAAATAAAATTTACTTTTATTCTTCGACATTAAAGAAGGTTTGGGTTTCCAGGAAGAATCGTTCATTTTCTGATATTACTGTAGCGCATTGATATTTTACAGATCACTAAATGCAGTAAAAATGCTCAGATTGCTGTAATTTTTAATAGGATACCAGAGCTGATTATATTGATGACATGCTAATTATTGGTTTTCAGGGGGGCTTTCTCAGTGGTGAGAAGATGTATGAAAATCCCTACTGGACAAGAATATGCTGCCAAAATTATCAACACCAAAAAGCTTTCTGCTAGGGGTGGGTATTTTCAACCACGTAATACAGTATATGTTAATTATGTATTTGTCATGTTGATTGTTCTGTTGTCTGTAAATATATAGTTATAATTGAACTGTAGACTTAGGTGTCCTCTTACATTTTTGCAGTTACTTCCTTCTTGAATGCCTCTTGGTATGTATAGTTTAAAAGTTAAGTGAAGACATAGAATTTTAACAACAGATTATTGAATCATTCCAACTGTCCTGTGAGCAGTAGCATATGTAACTATTTTAAAGCAAATAAGTTGTCCCTTAGTGCGTCTTGCCTTTAGCTCTGCTGTGAAACAACTTTCAGAAATACCCCGGAATGGAAAAATGTCTCACAACTGTCATTATTCTCTTTTGCTTTTAAGAGGAAAAATAGGTCATAGCTCAGTTGAATCATATTTCAATTGTAGTTACACTTGAACTTAATTTATCAAGGTATATTTAACAGTAATAGCTTTGGGAGGAAAAAATTTATCATTGCTATATTCTAGGAAGTTCATCTTGATTTTGATGTTTCCGTGTGTGCAGTCCAGACCTATACTGGGTCTTCCGCATTAAGGCTTCTCGCCGACTCCTGTGATGTATTTTACACATGCTTTATAGCCATGGAGATAATTCCTATCATAAAATAGCTGTTGACGTACGCAAAAAAAAAAAAAAAAAAAAAAACCTTGAAGGGGCCTCACTGCATTCTTTTATTTTGTTGAACGCATGCAAAAGTACTTACACTGAAATGTTAGGCATTCTAATTATTGTGAGCACGTGTCTAATGTATTTCCATGGGAATTTATGGTTTAATGGAATTAAAATGAACAAAATGCCACAATATAAGCCATTTTAGTGACCTGGTTTATTTTAAGTAATGAGAGAGGAAATTCTATTAGGGTTAGTTTGCCTCATTTCAATTTGTCTTCTAAAAAAGCGCTGCTTCCTAGGATCCTTGTGTTTTGGTCTCTGCCATGATTTTTAAAAACTTTTCCTCTCTCTGGTACAAATTCTACTTTTAACATATGCTTGAGGTTTAGATTGGCATTTCAGTTCATTTATTTGAATGAGAGAGATTTTGTTGTGATTTCCTTCATCTGATTTTAACAGTCTTCCGAGGGACATCTATGTACAAAAGTAACCAGTACCATAGCTTCACAGCTTGAGAACTAATGAGAAGCACGTCATCTTTGATTATACTCCCCTATCCCTCTTCTCTCCACAGGAAGGTTTTTAACAGTCAAAATGAGTTGCTAAACTGTAAATGACATTTTAGTTTTTAAAAAGAAAAAAAAAAGTGTATAATTCTGTCAGAGCTTATACGTTTTCTTTCCCTACTCTAGGTACTTTTGGCAAGAGTAGGTAGTAGTTCTTTTGGAAGTGTTATACCACCTGTCCCAAATCTCTTAGTGGCTTTAAATTTTCTTTCAAAACCAATCAGTCTCATGCTTCACTTCTGATTTAATTAGTGTTATCCCTCTTCATCTACCCTGCTTCATCCTCCCTATATCAGAATGGCAAAAACAGTTTCTGCTCACATTTTATTTTTCTTCTGACTCCAGTCTGGGGAGGATAAGTCTTCTCTAACTTGATGGGATTCCTTCTTCCTGCCAGTGTTTCTCACCTGCTCATACTCCACTTTAAAGAACATTCTACATCCCAAACCACTTTGCCCCCATCTGGATTTAATGATTCCAATTACATTTAGGAAAAGTAGGGTGAAGTACTAAAAGACCTCTCCCTCTCCAGTTTTCTTGTGACTTTGGGCAAATTTCTTAACCTGCCTACGTTAAACCCTTCTGAGGAGTGAGGTGGTACAGAAGCAGGTGTTGGAATAAATGCCCTGGGTTTAAATTCTGATTTCCCTATTAATTGTAATCTTGGGCAAGATTACGTGTTTTTGATGAGCCTTTGTTTACTCATCCATAAAATGGACTAATAATGTAACCCTTTTATAGGGTTTGTGAGGAGTAAATTAATATAGTACAGAACAGGGATCCCTGGGTGGCGCAGCGGTTTGGCGCCTGCCTTTGGCCCAGGGCGCGATCCTGGAGACCCGGGATCGAGTCCCACGTCGGGCTCCCGGTGCGTGGAGCCTGCTTCTCCCTCTGCCTATGTCTCTGCCTCTCTCTCTCTCTCTGTGTGTGTGTGACTATCATAAAAAATATATATATATATAGTACAGAACAGCACCTGCTACATAATACGTATTCAATGAATATTAGCTGTTATTATTATCTCTTGGCTCGTAATGATCAGATGAGATTACTTACATGAAAGAATGTGAAAATTAGGAATCCAGGGGCAGCCTTGATTTAGCTGTGAGAATGCAATTTGAATCTTGACTTTACTACTTAATGTGTAAATTTGGATTAGTCACTTATCTTTTCTTGATCTCAGGTTCTTCATCAACAAAATGGGGGAAGAGTACTCATAGGGTATCCTGGGTGGTTTTGCGGATTCAGTGAATTTTATGAGAATCATTTCTTAATTGCAAAGTGTTTTTTTTTTTTTTAAAGATTTTATTTATTTATTCATAGAGACACAGCTAGGGAGAGAGAGGCAGAGACACAGGCGGAGGGAGAAGCAGGCACCATGCAGGGAGCCTGATGTGGGACTCGATCCGGGGTCTCCAGGATCATACCCTGGGCTGCAGGCGGCGCCAAACCGCTGCGCCACCGGGGCTGCCCAATTGCAAAGTGTTGAGTCAATTTTACTATTACTGCTCACCTGTAAAATATTATAGTACTTCAAAACGTTCAGTTTATTTTATCACCACAACTAGAGCTACTTATAGCATATTTATAGTTTTGAATTTGTACACTTGTTTAAACTAACCCATATTAAGTTGTAAACTCTTAATGAAGTGCTTTCAGTTTTTAACATTTCACAGCATTGAGTATATAGGAAGGGTTCAGTATGGAGTGACTAGGATCACATGGTTTGTGAAGGAGTTAAATACTTGTTCTTAGGCAAAAACTAAGCAAATCCTAGGGATGCCTGGGTGGCTCAGCGGTTGAGTGCCTGCCTTAGGCCCAGGGTGTGATCCTGGAGTCCCAGGAGTCCCACATCGGGCTCCCTGCAGGGATTCTGCTTCTCCTTCTGCTTATGTCTCTCTCTCTCTCTCTCTCATGAATAAATAAGTAAAACCTTAAAAAAAAAAAGCAAATACTAGATGTAATCTATAAGGTAGTGTATTAACATATGCTTTAAAATATGAACGTTAAAAGCACTCCCTTCTCAGAATATAATAATCCTTAAAATGACCTTACTAGAAAAATTTAAGGTGATACATTTAAAGGGAAATTAGAATGATATGTAAATTAGCATACTTTTCCCCCTTGTAACATACTGATTTTTTTTCTTTCAGCTGTGCATAGCAGTTTTTGTGGAGCATATAATTTTTTTGTACAAATTTTTGTTTGTATAATTTAAAATGCTGTGCCTTTGTAAATCCAAGCTTTAAACCTGTTTGTTTTAAAGACCAGCCAGGTCCTCCAACTCCAATAGTATTCTTTAAATGTAACATTACAACTGAAAAAGAAAGGCTGTTGTCAATACATATAAGACCATGAGGGATTGCCAAAAATTTGGCTATATTCCTGCACAAATTTGCACATCCAACTATACTGTCACCCAGGCGTTTTTCTGTGCCTAGATGTTAATGGATTTCCAGTACAGTTTCAGTTGCATTTCCTCTCAGCTGTTAGTCACACAAACCATATTTGGGAGACTCAGTCTGTTGAAGAATTTCTTCCCTATTGCTTTAGCACATGCATGCACAGAGCATTCATCATATGGTACTGATCAGATAGATTAACTACACTGATACATAATTAGGCTTGTTTTAAAAATAGTGTAGAAAAGTTTCAGATGGCTTGTATTTCATATGAAATTTCTCTCAAGTTTTTTGTTAGGATTAGGTATGCTTAAATGGTGGTTAGTGATGATAGAATTTTATCCTATTTTTACCATGGGAAGTAGAAATTATATCATTTTGGTCCCAGACAATTAGGTTGGTATTTAACAAATGCTAATTTGCCCTGCAGTTCTGAGATTTTTTGGATTTTTGACATGTTTATAACTGTAACATATTGTCAGGTTGTGTGAAGTTCATGAAAAGTTGTGATTGCAGTTCAGAATCCAGTGGACTGATGGTTTTGATGGCAGATGTCTTTAGAAATAGTATTTGTGATTTCACATTTTAAAGACTCTTTGGTAAATGATTTTTTTTTTTAATGATGGTAATGTCTTCTTGATATTCATTTTCCAGTGTAATTTTTGATCATTATAAACCACTTTCTATGACATGGGGTCTGATATGCCACAAGTCATTGTATTTGTAAAATGTAAACTACAATAGAAGCTTGAAATAGTATACTTTTATAAGTGTATTTTAACTTCACTCCCTTGGAATTTAAAAAGGGATTTCAGGGGATCCCTGGGTGGCTCAGCGGTTTGGCGCCTGCCTTTGGCCCAGGACGCGATCCTGGAGTCCCGGGATCAAGTCCTGCGTCGGGCTCCCGACATGGAGCCTGCTTCTCCCTCTCCCTCTGTCTGTGTCTCTGCCTCTCGCTCTCTTTATGTCTATCATGAATAAATAAATCTTAAATAAAAATAAAAAGGGATTTCATTTTATATTTCTATAATACTTCACAGATACAACACAAGTCATTTGCATTCTTTGATTTTTACTAGTTTTGTTATTCCCAAGTTGATGATGTTGGTAGACTGTGAATCAAGACTTTATAAAACTGCTTGATCATGTACCCCAAATTAGTCCCAGCTTTGAAATCAATGTTGCATGTATGTCCTTAAGTAGTCTTTTTTATTTTATAATAGAGATATCAACAACCAACTCTTGCTACTTGTTTTCTTCTTCGACACCCAGGCAATAAAGCAATTACTGCAATTTTTCAGCCTTATGGTTACTTGTCTTAAATTGAAAGCAGAACCGAGATGTTATAGATGAGTCAAATTGTTGTGATTAAACATTATTGATTTGGC